GCACTCTACCCAGGGTGACAGCTTGAGGCTCTGTCTCAAAAAAAAAAAAAGGCTCAAGCAATCCTCTTGCCTCAGCCTACCAAGTAGTTAGGATAAGAGCCTGCCACAACGCCCAGCTAGGCAATAATTTTTTAAACTGCATAATTCAAATATTTTTAGTAAATGTACACAGTTGTGCAGCCATCACCACAATCCAATTGTAGGACATCTCATACATCTCTTTTATGGTGTATAGTTCTGTAACATAAAGACTCTCCCTGTAAGATGTCCCAACTTTAGAGCTATTAAAAGGATCTACCTGGGCAGAGCTTGTGGCTCAAAAGGGTAGGGCACTGGTCGCATATGCCCGAGATGGTGGGTTCAAACACAGCCATGGCAAAAAGAAGGATCTACCAGAGCATCCAAAAAAATGTCACTTAAAGTGTAACTTGTTTGATACTGCGAAATGACTTTTAACAGTTAAGGACTGAAAATACTTCACAGGTTTGGGCTGGGCGTGGTGGCTCACGCCCATAATCCCAGCACTCTGGGAGGCTGAGGCGGGTGGATTGCCTGAGTTCAGAGTTTGAGACCAGCCTCAGCAAGAGTGAGACCTTTCTCTACTAAAAATAGAAAAACTGAGCAAGAGGATCAGTTGAGCCCCTAAGCTGGAGGGTGTTGCGAGCCATGACATCATGGCACCCTACCCAGGGGGACAGACTGAGACTATCTCAAAACAACAAAAAAAAAAACTTGATAGGTTTAGAAATTTTTCTTTCTATCCTTGAATCTCTCTCCCTACTCTGCTATACAGTTCCTCCTTCTACCAGATGTGCTGGGAGAATTACCTGGGTTATCTCACTTCCCCCAAGTATCCCAAACTGTTGAGATGTCCTTTGACATCTGGAGGTAAAGTTTTATTTTCTTTCTGGTTTCCTGGCAGAGCGAAAGGCCCAGCACGTGTGAACGGAAACAAAAACCCACACAGACTATAGGGATGCCAAATTCTATGTGTAGAGACACCTTCCTCCTCGTCCTCCACAGAGCTCCCTTCTCAGCAAGCATCCAGGTGCTCACCCACCACTTCCCAGATCGGAACGAAGGTCCGGGATCAAACTCCAACCCTCCTTTCCCCTAGATTTTCAGAAACAGGGTCGTGGGGACAGCAGCAAACACTTTCAAAGTACACCCTACACAGACAGTTGCACAACAGACCTGGAGAAGGATTCCGGTTTAACAGGTAAATACCACAGATGAGACAAGAGGGGATCTGCTCGACGGTATCGACGGCATTTCGAGAATGTTTGCATTTGCACAGCGAACCCAAAGTTTTAGCAATTTAACTTGTGGCTCACCTGCGGAATATCGCGACGAGCTGAAATTGGTATTGTGAGCAAACGGGTGCTATGGAATCGACTAATCAGCCCTAAACTCAAGCTAGGCGGAAAAATTCTTTGAATACTCCGGCTTTGTTTAGTGGGCACACAACAGAACCGCCGAATTTCAGAGTCGGAAGACACGTATCTCCGTGTTCTCCGGCCCGTTCTCGGACTTGCGGGGCGCCCCGCCCGCCGCGCACTCCGTCCCGTAGGTCCCCAGATGGACGCCGGGGAGCCTCGGGGAGGCCGGGGCCCGGCCCGCGAAGCCGGGGCGCCTCGGGGAGGCCGGGCGGGACGGGGCGGGAGCGGCCTCCCCGAGGACGACGGAGGGAGGGAGGGGAGGAGGCCGCCGCGGGCCGAGGTGCAGCAGCTCCGAGCGGGCGCGCGGCCCGGCCCGCAGCCCCTAGGCCCGCCCGCTCGTACCTTTGGCGAGGGCTACGGTGGAGTTCTCGGTGTCGATGGTGTAGAGGATGCCCTCGTAGCGGATCTCGGCCTTGGAGATGAGGCTGATCTTGCTACCGATGTAAGGGGTGCCCCCGCTCATGGCGCCGCCACCGCCGCCGCTCCGGGCCGCTCGCAGAGAGGCAGATCCCACGCCGCTGTCGCCGTTCCGCACGCCCGCTCGCTCCGTCGGCGCCTACAGCAGTCGCCTAAGACCTAACATGGCGGCAGCGCCGGCTCCGCTACCCTCCCCCAGCCTCCCGCCCTCTAGCCGCGGCGGCGGCGGCGGCGGCAGCGGCGGCGGCGCGGGGCATGCCGGGAGGGCGAGGCTGCGCTCTCGCGAGACTTGGCCGGCTGCGAGCGGCTCCGGCTCGTCTAGTGGTCTCTGTATCCAGATAAACCGTATTCGGCCTGATCTACTCGGCGCCTGCTGGCCTCCCCTCCAACCCCTCTTGGAGGAGTTTGGGGAGGAGAGGAGAAGTGCCTTATGTACGGTACCTGCATCCCGAGGGCGGGAGCGGAGACACAGGTAGCTCTCCTTTTGACGCCGGCTGCACCCTCCATTTCCAGGCGCGTCGTACCTTGTCTGGAGTCTTGTATCTTTTGCAAAGGTGGGTCCCTCCACCTGGAAAGTTGGACACCCGCCTCCAAGCTTCTCATGAGCTGCTGGTCATCCATTTAAGACATTGTCTTTTCCTTTTTGAGGCAACTGTGCATCTCATGGAGCTCTCATGACCCTGTTAACAGCATCCATCGCCCAAAGAGTTTCCCCTAGGTTGCTTCTAGAGCTGGGACTCTTGTCACAACAACTCAATTTTTTAGCCCCGCACGGTTCAACTCTTTGTGTGTGTGTGGGTTTTTTTTTTTTT